GGGGGGGGGGGGGGAGGCCTGCTGATAGTCAAACACAATCAAAGCGGATTGCTCAGTGAACCCTGCTGTCCAGCTACCCCCCTTATTTCTACCTCTAAAAAGGAGGGCTGGCCGCTCTTTTATTGTTTTCTTAAGCTCGGTCAAGAGGCAATAATCCACCCAATCACAAGATGTGGTGGCCTGAACCTCCCCCCCACCACCAGCCAATCCTGTCCACTTCAGCCCCCCCCAAACCCAGACTGGACAATTCAAACAGCAAACGGTTCAACAGAAAACAAGCGGACCGAAATAGACATTTTTCAACTCAGTCGAAGGACTATTTAAAAATCTGTGACTGTCTTTCTAATAAGCCTGTCTTACAATTTCTCCAAAAGGTCAGAAGATAAAAGTTTAAAAATAAATTCATGGAATTAAAAAAAATGTCAAAAACGAGCAGAGACTGGATTGCCTGACAGATGATCAAACTGTTATGTAGGCATTAAAAGATGATAAATGAAATACACATTTTCCATACTCCCATTCACAAACATACACTTATATTCATTCTCTCTCACACACACACAAGTTTCTACAGACATGCATGCATACAGCTGTATAGCTGGCCACTTAGGGGCCTGGGTCTGTTTTGAACATACAATGTCTCCACAGCAAGGGCCGTCTATAAAAAAAACATGCATTCACTTATGTACAATATAATTTGTATATTGACCATTCTGCTTTATATCCACACAATTTAATTTTTCAGTGAGAAAGTCCAGGAAGTTAAATTCATAGAAATTTTGTTTTTGTATTTGATAAAAAGTTAATGTGCTCTGTATTGATTCCAGTACAACTCAATTTCTCTTCTCAGTAGCGCCTTCATAAGAGGAGTATACTATATACTCGTAAAATAATGAGGAGCTAAAAGTCAGGCGAGTCAGCCCATCCCAGCTCCGTCTTCATTGGCTTGTGTCCTACTCCCTTCCGCCGCTGACTCCCCCTCGTTGCACGGCCCCTCCTCGAGAAGAGGACAGGCTAGACGATGGAGCCCTCCCTGTTCTGGGCAGGGATCATGACGGGGATGGCCCCCATGCGGCTGAGGTTGGGGCCGGCCATCCTGGCAGCAGTGGGCGGGGGCAGAGGGGCGTGGCTCGGAGGCCTCTCAAAGTCCTCTGACGAGGGAATCTTGTCGTACTGGGGCTTCAGGGCGTACTCGTGCAGGTTGGAGGGCGACATGGAGCCCAGGGAGGAACGCTGGCTGCCCACGGTGAAGCTGCGCGCCGTTGAGACGCGACTCTTCGGAGGGGGCACATCCTCTCTGAGAGGAAACAGACAGCAGTACATTTAGACAATAAGATAAGACCGTAAACTCACTTTCACAAGCTAGCATGAGAGTCAAGTCAGAGTTTGAATATGGAACAGCATTATGGAAGGTGCTATAAATCAGAATAAAGTTGGCTGACACATCGAAGTCTGGAATGTCTGGCGCTTACCGCCCACAGTGAGGAAAACAATGAATACATGAGTCATTTCAAGAGCGAAACATGACTGGACTCAATAAAGAGGGACAAATAATTAGAGTTGGCCCGTTTGATTGGTTGGGGCAATGTCCGTAGTGCTCAGCCACACTGACTGTGTAATAGCCTGTAGAGATTGAGCTGAGCAACCAAGTACAGCTATGCCCTCTGCTTCCTCTGCCACCACATTAACAACTAATAAGCAGCAATAATCCAGTTAAATGCTCAATCAAACGGAGCCCGAGGGGCTGCAGCTTGTTTAGTCCTCAGCTTCATGCTGTGGCGGTCCAGTGAACGTGTGTGTGTGTGTGTGTGTGTGTACGAGACAGGACCAGTGGTCTAATCCTCTTTGTCCTACAGCGCGAGTGTCACATTGTGGTCTTAGACAGATTCAGTCCGCAGCAGAGTGATAGTAAGCCCAGGGGTTGTACAGAGCTCGTGGGCTGGATGGGGAGTAGTTGGTGAGGGGAGGGTGGGGGGGCAGCCAGCAGCAGACATGACACAGGAGCCACAGAGCAAACAAAGCTTTCAAACTGATTACCCCAGCTGTTTATTTGAGGAGGGGTAAAAAAAAAAACGCTGATGGAGAAAAAACATTTTCATGGTTGTTGGGGCTATTGGAGATATGTGTGTGTGTGTGTGTGTGTGTGTGTGTGTGTGTGTGTGTGTGTGTGAGATGACCACAGGCCAAACTACATGGCGAGCTGTGAGTAATTACCACATATAACCTATGGCATTTTTGATGCCTACATTTAATCCAGTATTATACAACCCGAGACACATTTGTCATCATATAGCAGAGACCACAGAGTGTTAAATATTCTTCCATCAATTGGGAGCTTTCTGCATCTGTGAGCCAGTGCCATTGATGTTTTTAGTGAATGTACCTTATCTCGTTGCAGATTTCCTTCTCGTACTTCTTCCTGTGACGGGCACGGCAACAGCAGAAGACGATGAAGGCGATAATGAGGAGGATCAGGAGCACGGCAATTATGACTCCTGCGATGATGCCTGGAGTGTTGGGGGCTGGACACGGGGGAAAAAAAGAAAAAAGGGTTGGAAGGTTTGGTAAATGTAATTTGGGGAGAAAATCCAACACTTGAGTATCCGTGCTCCTCCTATATGATGCTCCAGCTGCAGCACTTGCTTGTTTGTTTGACAGCGCTGTCGCAGCGTGTGGTACCAAGGCTTCTGCTACTCAAGAAGCTGACTCTGCCTGAATCCTGAAGCCTTTTCCTCAGCACACAGAATCAAATGTGCACCATCATTCTAACTGCAATGGGATCTTCAGTAGGTCTTCAGCGAGACGAGTGCCAGTGTTCTAACACGGCCCTCTTCTCAACGCTAAGTTTAGCTGTGAGAAATTGGTTGAATTTTTATTGCAGTCATCATCATCATCATCATTATGGATTTGTTGAGGAAATTTTGAACATAACTGATCTTTGGCTTCTTTCATTTTTCAAGCAAAAATGCAAAACATTTGATGGTTCCAGCCTCTCAAATATGAGAATTTGCTGGTTTTACTTTTATAAAATTATACTAAATTGGTTTTATTTGGCTTTATTGAGTGTTTGTTGTTACAATACTTTGGTCCATAACCAAATACCTGAAAACTAGTGATGCGCTGATCGGCTCTAACCTGAATCTGTGTGTCGGCATTAATCATTCACACGCCACCCAGCCGTGTCAATTATTTTCTCAGCTTTATAGACCCGCACTCGCATGGACATTTAACTTCCCCTCTACTACTTCCTGGTGGCTATGCTGCCTTTTTAAATGATATATTGTATTGATGTACAAGTGTTTTCTCTAATGATTTACTTTAATGATTAGACTTCAGTGATGCTGAACTGAGTCATTGTAAACGTTTCCAGGCACAGAGCAGTCAATGCACCAAATACTGTGGGACATTTAAGCAGCAAAACTAACTGTGGTTACTAAACTTTGAACTTCTGAAATAACCACTAAAGTCACGCTGCTGTTCCATGTGTGTAATCGACACAGCGTCTCTCAGCTGTCTGCTGTGGACAGCAGTTATTGCTCTGTTCACATTTTAGAAAATGTGGTTAATATTCAGCTCATTAATATTGTTATATTTCATACGACCGCAAACCATCCGCTATGAATCTGAATTTTTAATGACCCGCCGCCTGATCTGCGGTGTACGTGGATATAACTGCATAACTGTCATTAGTTTCCCCATCTGTCTCAGCTGCAGTTTGTGTTTTCAGGTAGCAAATACTAGCATATTAAACTGAAAGTTAACTCTGTACACATTATACCTGCTAAAAGTATGCTGATGTTTCCTGCTTAGCATTTAAGTGCTGCTGTGCCCACGTACAGCTTCACAGAGCAGCTAGCATGACTCTAGCTCTTGTTCTCGACATTACCTCAAGATACACTATTGTTAATATGTATAATAGATCTATTTTGGCCACCTGGATACATAACCGTAGTCTTACTGGAAGGATCAAATGCTAGGAGTAAGAACTTTGAAGAAAGGGTTCCATATTATACTTGTGTGTATAGAGTACTGCAAACTGTACTAATACATTATCTAGCTGACCCTCAGACAGCAGAGCTATAGGTTTAACTGTGAAACCGACTGAATGCGGGTCGGTGCATCAAGGTGACGTTAGTTGGGCACTCACGAGGCGTCACTTCGAGATACAGCACACAGTCCTCAGTGCCAACGCGGTTGGCAACAGTGCAGCGGTAGGTGCCAGATGAGCTGGCAGATGCGTTCCTCACGTTAATGGTGCCTCCCACTGGATCTGTAGTGAGGGCAAAGAACACATCAATGAAGAGGTGACCGTGGAAAACAGAGAGAGCACCCGTGTGCGTGACCTAAACACGGATTTCTATTTGTTTGGAAGTGCTTGTGAGAGAGGCCATTACCCATCACAGCGGAGCTGGGCAGCAGCTTGCCGTCGCTGGTCTTCTCCCAGCTGTACTGCAGGGGGTTGGTGCCCTCTTTAGATTTGCACCTCAGCACAATGTCTTTGCCTTCCTGCATGGGGCCTTCGGTGTAGCACCTGGGCTTGGATGGCTTCACTATGGAGAGAGAAGGAATGGAGGAGAGTGTTTGAGAGAGGGGAAAAACAACAGACACGACCAGGTGGCCACCTGGCATTAGCTCAGAACAACATGGTCCCCCTGCCTGCTGCCTCCAACCCTGTTATTCTACAATCTTTCATGTTGTGGACAAATTGTGCGTCTGTGTATTGCGTCTTCCTAAAGTTCCTTGCCTCCCTTGCTCAGCAGTCATCAGTGTAATGAGAGCAGCAATCAGAGTAATTGATACAGGTGCTGTCATTAAAGGAGCTGTCGCTCAGGATAACCACGAAGAAGAAGGGAGTCGCAGCACACAAACATGCCCGTGCACGTAGGGTTCAGGGTTAAGGATGGAGGCCAAGCTTTTGTTTCTTAAAGCCCAACGTGTGCGATCACTCCTCGGTCGGTCAGAGCGCTGGCTGGAGCTGAGGGGAGGGGGGATTCAAAAACAAACAGAGCTTCAAATTAAAAGCAGACCGACTCCAATGAAACGCAGACAGCCGGGCGAGGGAGGAAAAAAAACAACGTTTCTGAGGCCACAATCCAAGTCCGTGCTGTGTGCTCACTGACAGAAAGCCGACATCCTGGTGTGGTAATAATGCGTTCTGTAACAACAAAACCCTGGAGTGGGGCTCTCCAGATCTGAACCAGGTGTCAGGCGGGAGGGGGAAGCTTAGCAGGCATAACCGTAAGGATTAACAGCAGACTGACGGTAACGAGTGCTCCTACTAATCTAATAAACACACAGGGGGTCAGGATGGAGGGGGCAAAACGGAGAGCTGAGAGAGAGCAAAAATGAAGCGAGCGCTGATGGACAGATGGTAGTGATGGGCGCCAAGGCCGAGCAGCTCCTAACTCACCGGCCTGCATTTTGCTGCAGTTGTGTTGCACCACTCACACAGCTCACAGTAAATGTCAGAGAGTTATGACATTTTGACATCTTTTAAAAGGTGAAAGTCAACTCGGCGCGTCCGTCCGCGGGCTGTAACACGCAGCTCCTGTCATTAAGGCCGCTGTCCCATGAGCAGATTTATTTGTTTGAAAGATGGGGTCAAAGAGGAAGGTGACGGAGGCTGGAGGAGCACAGAGCCATACGGCTACCCTGGCTCTTTAAAATGAACAATGAATTGGGATTTATGCGCTGCACAAGGCTATCTTGTGGAAGAGATAAGAAGAATGGGATTGCTAGATTGTGGTATTTGTTGCATTCAGAAGGCGCCCACCTTCAAGGAGCGACTGCTGATAGTTGAATGATAAAATGAAAACATAAGCGACTCGTGGCCGTTAAACCCTGGATGCGATGAGGATCGCCTGGACTTCAGGCAGGCAGAGCTAAAATGATTGGCTGTTGAGAGTAAAGGCGGGGCCGAGTCAGAAACAGCTGCGAGAGCTGCTGACATGCAGTGCTGTCCTCGTGTTAACTTCAATGTCCCGGTGCAACCAGAGGAGAATACACAACAAGGGATGCTATGCTACCTACTGTACAGTACCATGCACACTGCGGCGGGGGGGGGGGGGATGTGTGCATACCTGCATATGTGACAAGCCACAGCAACACCGGTGTATAACTTGGTGTGTTTATGCACACATACGCATGCACGTCTCCCCTTCTCCCGGGACCAGCCACCTTGTGACAAGATCGACCTGAAGGTAAAATGCAGAGCAGGCAAGATGTCCTCCTCTCTCCTTGTCAATGTTTCCTTGCTAAGAACACCCCTGACCCTTGGGGTCAATAGCTAGCAGCCCGTCAGCTCCTGAAGCCTCGAGCTATCTCTCTCCCTCATGCACGCCATCGCTAAAGACATCTGGATAACCATAACGAAAGCTGGATTTGCATTTTAGGAGGGATACGATGGACAAATTAAATTAAATCATATCGTATGATAACAATACAAGGACTACAAGAACCACTAGAACTGACGTTTAGAAAGTAGATACTACTCTTACCGAGGGAGACATTTTAGAAACCTTATCACAAAAGCTTGAAAAGCATAAATGAGGGGAATGTGATACAAATGTATCAACAATGGATATTATACTATATATAACTGGTATTTGATTGTGCATCACATTAGACTGTTACTGAGCAAAGATAGTTACCATACAAGCTCAACCTATGCCGTGAGTTTCTATTTTAGGCTGTATCTTTTGATGAAATGATAAACTTAATCAATGACATTCAGCAAAATTTTAAAATAAGCATGGGAAACGAGTCCGCAGGGCTGTCAATCTCCCTCACTGGTGAGGAACGGGGAACTGTTGTTGACTTCGGCAGTGATTCACTTTTCAAGCTGCTTCTGGTCAGATCAATTTCTATGTAAACTAACCTCCCCAAGAGCTTTGTCAGTGGCTCTTGTGTCAGCTGTATTCACAGTTAATGGTCAGATTATCTGTGGCCATTCACCTCTTTTAATAGAGAGCTGCTTTGTGGCACCACAATACAACTACTGAGAAACTTGTTTGCTCTACGCCAACCGGCTCAACCAGAAAGACGCGAGCTCCTGGAAAGCACTTTTGTGCACATGATATATCAACAAGAACAGCAGCCATTTTCTGAAGCGCCTACTATCTTTAAAACAGAGACACCACTCTGATAACAGGGCGATAACAGCACAATATGCAGCCTATCCCCACGACAGACCGGTGCGGCGCACTTGGGTTGTTTTTCCCATATGCAAATGCCAGGCTGGTTTCGGGAGGCGATTCACTTTCAACATCATTTAGTCAGTTGACCGACCAGCGAGGCCGCTGTGCGTGAGTGTGTTTGCCTGAGGAGTGAATCATCTGACTTATACAACTCTGCTGTGTCACCCCTCTCACCCTGTGCAGCAAAAACCCAGCTGAGTGCATAGACTCCATCTCTGAGGTTTGTCCACATTTCTCTAAAAGGCAGGCTTACATTGCACACGTTGAAAACGATTTGTAATATTGCAGATTATTTGTTAACCTTTGCCTGTATTATCTCGGAAGGTTTCAAAATGAGTAATGTGGAGTCATTTTTATATTGTTTTCACAGTTAATATTTTAGGAATATAGCTATTGTAAAACATCTGCAAACATTCAATTCATTTGAAAAGGGAGCTGTGATTGAAGAAAAACCAAGACTAATACTAAACACAAATATAGATGACAGGAAAAAATATCAGGATTATCATTGTAGACATAATCACAGAGGGAATACAGAATTGTATCACAAAAGGGGGGCAATGCTCTGCAGCCTCTAGGAAGGTCATGCACTCCATTTTAGAAGGGATTACATCAAAACAGCCAGGGAGGGCAAAGTCCGTGTGATTTGGTGCATTTCCTCTGTGTAGAGAGAAAGAATTTACCCTGTGAGAAAAAGAAAGGACAGCTAGCCTAACTCCAGAGCGTGTTCAGCTGTTTGCTCCACTCACCCATGACGATCAGCAGCATCTTCCTGCCTCGGATACCGGGAGCCTTCTTCACTTTACACTGGTAAGTGCCCGAGTCTGACGACTTCAGCCCCGTCAGGTTGATGGAGGCGTCGCCGTTCTTGGGGTCTGCTGAGTTGAAGTGGACTCGGCCCTTCATTGGTGCATAGTAGTCCTCGTAGGACCTGTCGCCCGAGTACAGGATCACCTGGATTTGAGAGAGTTTGAGTTAAGAGCTTTACATAATGTGATGCAGTGCTGTATCTGACTTATCCGTTTGCAAAAAAATAAAAAGTCCTCCTAGAAAAACAAAGCAAAGCAACAGCCTTGAAATGGAAGTTGTGTGCTTTCTGAAAGGTAAGGCTTTGCTCACTGAACCAACCAAAATATAAGGGAAGGGAACGAACGCTCTCCTTTATCTCTGCGATGCCCTTCAGTCTGGCAGCCCTGCTCTAACCTTTCTGTGCTCAACAAGAAAGAAGGGGGTTCAAACAAAGCAACCACTGTGGAGCCAAATCAACACCTGCTGTGTCAACAAAGAACATTCATTTATTGGAAACTTAGCCCAACCATAACCGCTACCAGCCTTATCCTTACCCTCCCCCGACATTAACCCAAACAAAGCCTTCATCCTACAATGAAATGATTTACGTTATGGGGACGTGAAGTCGTCCCCATTGCTGCCCCCCCCCCCCCCCCCCAAAAAAAGAAGGGCGAGTCCCCACAATGTGACTGTGTAAATTTGTTGTATTCACATTTATGTCCCCACAAGACAGGTAAACACACATACACACACACACACACACACACACACACACACTCTTGACAGCAGCAAGGAAATGCCTAGAAATAAAGGCCAGGTGGAGCCAACAAGTAACCTCGTAGCTCGTAGCTGGGGTGATGGAGGAGGGGAAACAAAACAAACTGAAAAGAACAAAGAGGGGAAAAGAATAGCAAACAACAATGAAAAGAGATCTCATTCTCTTTCACAGACGCTGGCATATTCTTCCACATTTCCAAAGAGACAGTCATCAACAGGCTTTTCTGTGCCACGATCAACGGCAGGCATACGCACAGCAAATACCCTTGGGTAGAGAGGAGGAGGAAAAACGAAACATGGCAGGAGGAGAGGAAGAATAATGAACCCATCAAAGGAGGCAGATCAGTTGAAAAGGAAGCACGAGAGGAGCAAAACAAAGGGAAAAGGAGTGAGGGATGTTCTGCTGTGTCTCGAGCAAGTCGCCATTTCAGACTGGAGCAGGCATGCTCACAACGGGCGCCATGTTCATCTTGTTCATATTAGCCATGTAAACAGGTAACGTAGTTAAAATTCCACCTGGCTCTCAGGGGAGGGAAATCTATCCCTCTAACTTCACAGAGAGATCAAAACATCAGCAGTAATAACAGCAATATGCAAGATGAGACCACGCAGGACAGGAAATTAAATTGCCCCGAGCTCAGCCAGACGAGACTCTCACGTGAGCTTCGACCACTTCACGGGCAAACAGATTGGAGTGCTTACACACATGCACACCTCTAGCAAAAAAAGAAAAGAAAGCTCTGAACTGCACAATAACCTTGAGAATCATGATCCAATAAAAAAAAAGAAAAAAAAATCCCATAAAGAGCCTGGGGAAAATGAAAAGGGCGAATGACTAGACAAGCTGGCGGGGGCTGGAAAGAGCACCACTGTCCGTGTGCTGCGTTTCATAACAGGTGGGACTGTTCGTTGAAACAATCGCCACCTGGCCGGGCCACTCTCAGAGGACGGATCGTGCTGCGGAGGTAACAGACCTATTTGCCCGGCTTCCTTTCATCGGAACACATGTGAAGATGAGGTCATCGTCATGTGATGCTGTTGCTCAGGCAGGGAAGAGGAAGAGGTGCGGGATTCATTTGAGAGGCAAAGCAGAGAGCTGCGATACCTGTGTACTCTAAACAACCTGCAGAGCATAAAGTGCAGCACTGTGTCTATTGCGCTCCCACGGAGGCTTTTAACTTGAATGAGTCGAGGCACTGCTTTCACAGGAACAGCTCCTCTCGAAAACTGCCTCCCAAGGTTAAAGCAGAATCACTAACCTGAGAATGGATCAAACGTCCTTCAACACTGAGGCTGTAGAGAATGCAGCCGAATGTGGCCATTGTCATTCACGATCATCACTGCTGTACAAACAAGCAACGCTATTTTCACTATGGCTTTACGTAGGAATCCTCTGGTACTTTGTCAACATGCACAAATTCCTGTCGCAATGAGTTCAGTAAACAGAAGGCTCTGCTGCAGAGCTGAAGGACAAAGGAGACGGGTTGTGTGATATGGGATAAAGCTATGCATTTAAATGTTGTTGTTTTCTCCTGAGTAAATTCCTCTCCCATTCACACCATTCGAATTTTGTTTTGGTAATTGTTTTCCCTCGTTGTTCTCACAGTGGTGGTGAGCACTCAGGGCGCACCCTGCGTTCAGCTAATCTGTGGCCAGGCAATGAGAGCCAAAATGCTAATGACTCTTACTGTAGGCATGCCTGGCATCTCTCACATGAGCCCAACAAAGCAACGTGCATTAGCTATGCTTCACCACCCGGACCCTGATGACATGTGGGACGTGTCAGATGAGGGGGGGGGGGGGCATCGTCCCCCACCAGATAGGATAGATTACTTCTGATTGCATCAATGACAAGACACTGGACTACATGGTTCGTAAATATGAATAAAGTTCTTAAAGAGAGGATTATTTGCACATTTAAGACGCACCACACAACACATCTCCCTGCTCGCAAAAAACAGGTCATCGAGTTCCTGGTTATATGACTCTGAGGAGTGATCCCGCTGACTAGTTCTGTGAGTATTATCCCATAGTGGCTGTTCAAGAGAAGCCTGGATTTTGCTCATCGCAAGCCGTTCGTGCAATAGTTCACCATGGTCTCATCTGGGAGCCTGTGGCTATAAAGTTTAGCCTTCACTCTCATCTCCCTGTCTGATCTGGTAGCTTTGGTCCTCGCAGATCAGCCTAATCCCATTCAACACTGTCACAACTATTAAAGCAGCCCCTTGGGAATTAACATGCCGCTAATTATAAAAGAATTTGCCGCGAGCGTGACTTCTTATTGGTAAAAGGCTGTACGAATGCGAGCGTGTGTGTGTATAGTGAGAAAAATCTGATAGGTCAAGGAGAACAAACACGTTCAGAGAGAAATGTCCGACCTGTTTAAGTTCCTACAAAGGTTTCGGCAACATTAACGGGTGTGCAGATAGTACTCAGCAAAATGGCACGTGATAAAGGAAATAAACAGTGCAACCAGATACAATTTAGGAACATTTGATATATTTCTACAGCTGCGTTGAGACATGAAGAGGAAGAGGCCCAACTGGGGATCCACCCACACTGAATTCTGTGCCGAGACAATGAATAACAAGAACATTTACAATATTTCATCATAACAACCATTGGGAGACTGAGAATACCGATAGAAAGTTAAACTCCACCTCCCTTCTCCACTACTCCAGTTAATGATTCAGAGTACAAACAAAGTAGGTCAAAAACAAATAGAAGAAGATAATTGGTGTCTCCATAATGACGCATGACCAGGAGCACAGAGGTCTACCTGGATGAGAGGACTGGTTGGGTCAGTGGACAGAGAGGACAGCGGGTGATGACAGAGACAGATAAACCCAATGATGAGCCTGTGACCTATTTCTAACATCCGGGCCAAAAAAAGCCTAAATCCACAGGATACAGGGGAATAAAAAGAGAGTGGAGGAGAGGGATGAGAAGGCTTTGTGACAGGTGGGGGAGTAGAGGGTCACACCACTGGAACGCTCAGTAGCAAGAATCCGTGGCTATGGCTGTGAAAGCCCTGAGGGCATGTGGAGATCCCGTAGGGCGGTGTAGTCCTTCTTTTCCATGGCCGAGGGCCATGGAAAGGAAAGACACTGTCTGGAATAAAAAGGGCTCCCACTATGCGTCTGTGAGAACACTGCACACAAAATGAAAATGCTCGATAGAAGTACATGTGACTCGAATTACATTTGCTACACCTTGAGGAAGTACACGCCCAGCATGCCTCTTGCGTATAACATACCAAACCACACACATAGCAAAAAAATGAGGGACATTTAAAGTCTTGAAAGCAATGAAAACACCCCACTAATTTCTATTTTTGACATATTGTTGGGGCGTATTGTGAAAGAAGTTCTGAAGCTGCATACAAAAGACCACGTTGGAAAAGATCCCATTAACTACGTAGGAAAAGGAAAGAACAAAGCTGGACTTGTCTGAACATAGATGCCATGACTAAATGAGTCGATCAGACAACAGACAACTGCTAACTGTACTGTCGTAAGCCATCTTAGAAGTAAAACTGCATTTCCAGTGTTTGTGGGGAGCATCGACACGTACCACTTTGTCTTCTTTCTGGTTGTCGGAGGACAGCAAGCTCCATTCAATATCCAGCGGTCCAGAGTCTTCGGGGCTCAGACTGAACTGGCAGTCCAGCTTCACACTCTGACCGCTGGCCTTCTCTATGGGTCCCTGCGCCGAAGCTGTGATCTCCACACCGGAGGCCAGACCTGGACGGACACGCATAAAGAGAGGAAGTTAATGCACTGCAATAATAATAACAACAATAAAAACATTGAAAGCATTAAAGAATGATGGAAACACAGAAGGGACAAGAAAGGCCTACAATTATTTATTAAGGACATTCGTTCATATCGCATTTTTGCCAGTAGAAACCAGCTGTTTACAACTGTATAATTCAGAAAAAGATAAATCAATTAATGTGACCTGAACCCAGATGAGTCACAGAGAATTGATGGATGTCTTAACCAATTAAAAATGATTTAGTTAATTGAGAAGGAGAAAATCATCGACACAGTGAGTTACCCTCGTCGTAATTTATCCGTGCTACATATAGGCCAGAATGATCTTATTAAGCAGCACTTTTACAGTAATTTGATCTCGTTTTGGCAGCAATAATAGTTGAGACGAAATGAGCGAAAGCTCTGTAGAAATGTTTAGTTGCAGTGAGCTTCAGAAAAGAGAGAAAGACCTGTGATAAGACTGAAACACCACTAGATCACAGCCAGCTTCAGGTCTTTACCTCTTTGTTGGTGAGTGAATGAGCAAATATTTATTTTCAACATTGTGCAAAATGAAGCCCACAGATTGTACTTTAATTTGTTTTTGCTTGGTGATGGAAAATTCTGTCTCTTGTATCTAATTAACTGAGTTCAGTGACTGAGTGCCTCCAGTGACTTGCTTAATAACAGAAACATTCTCAGCCAGAAGCCAAACGTTTTGATTCAGGGAATGTGTCACTCATGAAATAAATATGGCTCCATCTCATCTGGGAAGTAACTCTTAGAATATGCATAATGTAAATCACACAGCAGAAAAAAAAAGAGAAACTGATAGATGAGAACACAGCTTAGCTGAAGGAAGGGTGATAATAAAAAAAAAAGAAACTGTGGCCCATCACAACACTGGAGCCGACTCTTAAGCATTTATTCTTAGAACGTATAAACATAATTTCCTGGTGACATCAACTGGGTTAAGATTCTCCATTCAATAAGAGAGTTAAGCTGCAGCACGGAACACAGTCCGTAGAGAATGGAGTTGTCACATGCTGCCTCAACGCATTAAAATCCTTCTGACAGCCTGCCACCTTCCAGTCAGCGAGAGAACAGCTTTATAGAAAGAAATACCCCACAATATGTTGCTGCTAAAAGGCGTGTGTAAATATACTTATCACGTGCCACAAATGACATCAAACATGTGGAACTGAAATGTTCTGCTGATAATTAAACAATTTCCACTCCATAAAAATTTGTTTTTTACTAAAAAAATAAATAAAAAAATCACATTTTCCTGAGCTTATTTCTTATTTCTTATTTTGCAGCTTTTACTCCAACTGACAAATGGAGCTGACTCTGCGATAATTGGTGAAACAGGAGACAAACCTTGCAACAGTACACACTTTGTTAGACTCTTTTCACTTCCTGGAAAGGAAGAGATTACCTTGATTACAAGGTTTCCGTAAAGGACGCAACAAAAAGAGATTACATGCAGCTACACAACAAAAAACAAAGAGATCTAAAGGTGCATTAAACTGCGTACGAGTCTTCCAACCTACATGACCACTCAATCTAACCTACAAACAGTTTGAGCAAGGTAAAGGTACCAGGACATCAAGTATGCAATTTAAATGATGAAAGTGAAAGTAGTCCTTTTGATTGTGATACTGAGACAAAGAGGAGTTTGCCAGCTAATTGTGTGAGGGCCGTTTCTATATCTTGGCCCTCTGTGTAAGACGGGCGTGCATCTCATGTCCATCAGCTCTGTTTCAGCCTCAAACCTCACTCCCCTCTGGGCTGCGCAGAGACAACTGAATGAAAAATACACCGCAGAGAGTGACAATCTCCGTCACACCCACCATTGTTGAAGCCCTGCAGCCTGGGAGCACTTGATATGGTTGCGAAGCACAAGCATAGTTTTATTCCCCATCCGTCGGCGCTGCAGCTGGCCGCTGCAGCACACAGATTGTGTCAGACGCCCTTGATGGGAGCGATCCATCGCCTTCAGCGGAAGCGAGAGAAACGGGGTGTGATAGAGAGAGGACTGAGATACGTGTCTATCACTGTCAAAAACCGAGACACGGCTTGGCATCTGCATGACAGAAAGCTGTGTCAATTCATCAAGCACTTTGAAGGAGACGGGGCATTTTTTACAAATTGCTTGGAAAAGGGGAGAAAATTGCATTCTGTGAGAAAAAGTATTCAGCTAGAACAGTTTATCAGGGAGGCTGGTTTCTCTGACGGGCAATCGGGGACACTGCCTGGCATAGCTGTTAAATCAATGGCGGCCCGCTGAGGCCATAGACAGCATTTGTTTAAATTACAGTTCAGCCGGAGGCCTCTTCCTTTCAAGCACCGCACAAATGGGGAAAAGAAAACGTGCCATTTCAGGATATCATCCCTTCCACTGGCAAACAGATTTGTTAGCTCATAAACCTGCCCGGGTGGTGGCTCAGGTGACAGCGGTGCCAAGGCAAAGGAACATAAACACCGCGAGTGTAATCTAAGCTTAATTCCACATTCAATCAACAGACAGGAATCCCGTTTAATCCATCCACTGCACGCATTAAGTCTTGGAGAGGAACTGTGGTAAATGCAAATGAGATAATTAGGTGAAAGCTGCAGTCGTAGCAAAGCAGGCAAGGCCCTGAAAATAAAAACCTATTCTTACTCCGAGTGATTGGGCCGTCCATAAACACACATTCACTGTTAAAGTTTGGATTGTTTCTTCAGAGAGATTTGTGCTGTTGTCCTTGCTTGTTCTCACTGATTTGAAGTGGGTGGGCTCTGCTGGAAAAAAGGTGATGTCACGTAATTCTGCACCAATCACAGTATAGCAACATTTTTTAAAATAAATTGTGTGGAGGTTTTCTTATGTTTCCAGCTCGGTCAATTGAATCTGATCAAACCACACGCCTTCCTGATGAGGCCGTTTAGCTGAGCCAAGCTTTTTGTGAAGCATGAAACTCTTAGTAAATAAAAACTATGCACGTTGCTTTATTCTAATAAACTTAACTTTGATTGTTGCTTATTTGGTCATATACTGTATAGTCAATGTTAGAGAAATGTGTTACAAGGTAGTAGAGTCAAAACATAAAAACCATCAACAAAGCATTCTAGTAATATCATAACAAACATATCTCAGCCCTTAAATTATCTATCACATCATCCGTAGCAATAAAGCGCTTTTTCACATTTTTACACTTCACCAGATGGCATCAAATCACTGTAATGGCGATACAAGCTCAGTAAAAACAATCATTTGAATCATTTGAATAAAAAGTCAATAAAATGGGTCGGGTAGGAATAAGGGAAAGGAGTCCTAATAAAGATCAGGTGACCAGGTAAAGCAGTGGCTGCCATCTAAAATGTCCCATTGGAAATAAACACCAAAGAAATAACGGAGAAAGTGTAAACTGACATGGATTGATCCACACAAGCGATTTCTAAATCCATCTAAGTTAAATAAAAAACCGTAAGTATTTATTCTTAGAAGAGTTTATAACATCAAAACTCAGCTAATCTGCATCATGAGGACTGTGTGTGTGTGTGTGTGCGTGTGGTTTGATCAGATCTGATTGACAGTGGTACGGCAACATGAGCAAACAACCCCACAACTGTCATCAAACTTTATTTAAAAGATTGCTAAAACCTGATTGGTGAATTGGAAGTACATGACATCACCATTTTTCCAGCCGAGTCCCGCCCACCTTAAATCTGTGGAACACACAGAGAAAAAACACAAAGGCCAAATCCCAATATCCCCCCTAAACCCTCAAACCCTGAACCCTCAAGGACTTACTGACATCACCTGGTGAGTGTGAGACTGAGGGCTTGAAATGGTGGAAATATGAATGGGACAGCACTTTGCTGCAACATATCACATTACCATGAAAACAACAATAAATATGATGTATAATTGTGTGTATTTATTTTATACTTTGTACTCCTTGATTTGAACATCTTCAGACTCTTTCTTCACAAGATGAGAGGTAACTTCATATAATCTATTTACTCGTTTTTGTCGAAACAGCTTCAATGACAAAATCAAATATTTGATGAATAAATAAATAAATCTCTGATTTCATGTTTATTTTTTGTTCCATCTTTAATCCTTAATGTTTCTGAGTAAATTTAATATGACTGAACACACGTGAGCCATCCTCTTTGTTTACCTTTTTTTTTTTACGTCTCCATGCGTCCACTGGTTACCCCGTGTTTAACGTTACATTGCAATGATTTGTGGGTAATTCCCTTAGGCTAAATCAGCATACCATGCTAACTTACGGAAACGGTTCATAAAGGGCTCAAAATGTCTGCGAGAGAGCCCTCAAACACTTGATGATTTGACAGTGGGACAGCCCTAAACCCTCACGGACTTCGCAGGAGCGCGCCTCAAAGTCCGTGAGTCTGTAAGGAGGACATTGGGATTTGGCCAAACCCAAACTTTTCAGACTTTGGCAGAAAACTGTATTCATGTAGGACCCCATTACACATCGTGAAAAGATGATTGAGAAATCGGATTTCAGGGGCTTTCTAATCACAAATGATCATGAATAATTTAAAAAGAAAAGCCCTTCTCATAACTAACCTGGATAAGGCACTTTAAGATAACTGAATGATGGCTGATAACTGGCTGTAGAAACCATCCCCTGGTAGTAGCTTCTAATAGAGAATAACACAAATAACCCTGTATCCTGTAAAAAGGCAGCTCAAAGTGTTAATCAGTAACTATCAGCTATCAACACACACTGTATACACTGTGTGTGTGTGTGTGAACTCTGGAGCAAGTACTCAGAGCACAAATGATCTTACTGAGCTCAAAGTCTCGGCCACGGTGAGCGAGCGCTCCATATAATTACTGGCTTATAGAGGGTGACCGTCAGTCCTTATTTAGAGTAATGGCACCAGAGCTAAAGTAAACTGGCCTTCTTCCTCCAAGCTAATGTAATGGGCCAATAAGAGAGACCATCATTAGAGCCAAGGAAAACTAT